AGACAAGACCGGAGACAAAGGGAGACAGAAGGGAGACAAGGCGGACACAGTGACCAACAAGAAGCGAGACAAGAAGGGAGACAAGACGAAACAGAAGCGAGACAAGACGGACACAGTGACCAACAAGAAGGGAGACAAGACCGGAGACACAGGGAGACAGAAGGGAGACAAGGCACAGTGACCAACAAAAAGGGAGACAAGAAGGGAGACAAAAGGAAAAAGAAGGGAGACAAGACGGACACACACCAGCAGTGACAGAAAGGGCGGACGCATCTTAAGAAAGAATTGAGAACCCCTAACAGTAAACTGTTTGGGGATTGTGTTCCGCTGAATTGGCCGCCTGAACCCACCGGAAACAAGTCAAATGACTATAATGATAATGATGGAAATCTATTCATAGCGACGGTGACATGAAAAAATCTCAGTTGAGCCCAAGCCCGACCCTCTTCTCAACATCTTGGCACTATTGCCATGATTCTCTTCTCAGAAACGGCACAATTAGAGCGGTTGTTGATGTCTGAGTCTATGTGTGCTTTACCATAACTGGTACAATGGCGAAACCTAAGTATTACCTACACTCCCTTTCTCTTGCCGACCTCGCGCAGACGGGCGAACAAAGTCCCTCTCCCGACCTCGCGCCGTTCGTCCCGACCTTGCGACTCTCCGAGCAATGAGTGGGAGAGACTGGCACTATGTGGTTGCTCGACACTGCCATCCGGATGAACGTCCTGGTGACCAATAGGACCGTGGAGGTCCCATCGACTGAACCGATATGGACTCGTGGTGACTGAAGTGGTTACTAGTAGCTTCTTGCTACTAGGCGTTTAGAAAGGATGGGACAAGTGAAACAGCCACAAATCGCACCAAAACCACTTTGCTCCTCGCATTTTTCTTCGGCTGCCTCTTTGGAGTCTTCCCGCACAACGTCCATGTCACAATGTCTTCGGGAAAATGTTGAGTGTTTCTGCTCGCTCATGCAAAGGTATGCAAAGGTTGTCTAGGTAAGGGATTGAACCAAAGTTTGATTTCGCATGTACGCTTCAGCGCAAAAGAAGTCTGCTGGGTTTCTCTCACGCGGTCCGTCGAAGCCATACTGCATTGGCCAATTGCAAAAGCGACAAGTACTATCCTCAAAGCTGCCTGCAAACCTGAAAACCAAACAACAATGTCACAGAAGCATGGTGTTCCAAGGCCGGTTCAAACCAAGAGTGAAGTCAGCCAAGACATGGCCAGTGTTGATGATGGACAACTCAGCCTTCAAGGTGAAATTCCATGCGAGGACAAGCAACTGAAGTGTGTTTGTCTCAATCAAGTCGAAGTGTCCATCAGTTACAGACCAGGGCATTTCATGCAATCTCTATTTCGGCAGTTATTAATCTTTTTCATTCTTGATCAAAGCATCTCCAGTAATGCCGTAGAGGCTACTTCATAAGCGACCTCCTTTCCCTCCCAGAATTCTTTTCTTACTGCTCTTCTTCTGCAACGTGAAGTCATATCATTCTGAAGAAATCTGCCTGCTGAGGCTTTCTTGCCCAAAAAAGCCACTTGCGATTGCCAAACGGGCCACATGAGTGTGAAATATTTGGTCCAACGGTCCAACAGTACGAAGAACTCGACCAACCAGGCGAGCCTCACCACCACCAGAGAGCGCTTCAAAGGATGGTGCCTGTGAAGGTTACGTCAACTGCAAGGGGTCTGGTTTGGAAAACGAAACAGGGTATCCATTTTCCATCCCATTATGTACACCGTACACCAGAACATCCATACGGCCGCATGTGTGATGTCCTTAGTTCTTTGAGTTGTTTTGAGAAGTGCTGCTTCGATTGCCTGCCTAACTCCTAACAGCTAGACTGATGGCACTCCTGATATGCGTGGACTGATGGGATGTGGCACAGTGATTGCTGCGGATCCACCACGCACTGAACGCTTGTTCCCACTGTGCACCACCTCGGCTTTGATGATCCGCCCGGTCGCCACGTTGGTCACCTGAAGTGACGGGTGTGCATCGATGACTCGCGTGCAAAGAAAGCTAGTGCAGCACGCTGAAACCCACTTCCCTGTAGGTGACTGTAGCGTTATGGAGTTATGTAACATAAGTCATATGATGTCATATGTGTGTGTCAACTGATTCCAAGCAAAGCTGTGCTTCCGTGCGAACATTGCAGACTCTGCACGGGCTTCCAAACGCAGCAGAGTGGTGTGCCTCAAAAACCAATACTGGACGTTCCTTGAAACGTGAATGGCGGTCAATACAAAATGCACCCGCAAAAAAGGCCAGCCAAATGATGTTAGGCTCTCTTACGGTCTTTTTGCTTCGTATTCCAGCACCTTCCGGAACCAATTCGATATTGGAAGAACACTTCAACCCATCCTCATGAATCCATCCTCCCTACCTTCAATCCGGGTTGGCCTCATCCCTCATCTCCGTTCTCCTACTGCTTCAACCCGAAAACGGGTGAAAAAACATAACACAAACATCTTGGTCTCCTGGCCGCTGTGCCAACGGGCAGGCCAAGACGATGTTCATGCCTTGAGCACTCATATTAAAGCACGAGATGTCTTATCGTTGTCTGCTAGTGTCAGCAATTCCTCGTGGTCAGTTTTCACCTGCTCCAACAAAAATACATTTCGTTTCAGGTACTGTGGCGGCTCGTCACCAAAGGCATGGCAACGGCGGGCTGTTGACCAAACCGCATGCAACAGCTTTGAGAGGGGGATGGTCGTTGGTCATCACACATGGCTGCCGCTTTTGACTGTGCTGGCAAAGCGCGACGCACGCGACACGGGCCACACAGCGAAGTGCTCAGAGAGGGAAAGGGGAAAAAGCGAGAACATCCATTGTTGAGAAAATGAAAGGTACAAGCAGAGTTGTCCTGTAAACGGACAGACACTGCAGAGATGTTTGCAAGCATGTGTGTGTGTGTGTAAGTGAGTGCGCGCGCATGTGTGTGTGTGCCCCTTGAAGTCACAGGGATCCACTCGGATTGTGTTGATTGTGCTTTTGGTTTTTAGCCGGGGGG